CAAGTGGAAGGGGATGGGAGAAATAACCCCTGCAAAACAGTGTCTGAATGTTTTCAAAAGGGGAAAACGAATTGCTTTCTTGCATGGAATTTGTCAATAGGTTGGTACTGCCTTGAGTATCACTTATTTGCCGATCAGCATCCTAATTTGTTCACCCAACGTGTAGCGCGGTTTTGTGCATGCTCATTTTTCAAATGGGTACATGAGCTCTTGTTTCACAGTCTTAATGTTGGTCAAAGCAAGGCTGGGCAGGAAGGCAAAGGCTTCCATCATAAGCAGCATGAGTGGAGTTATATTAGGGAAGGAAACTTCCTTGCCTCTCTGCTTTCACTGCAGTCTTCTCTGTTCCCCCTGAAATCATGCTCTTGCAAGTCAGTTGATCCAAAGGAATAATGTGGGAGACAGATTGGGCAGTCTGCAGTAGCAGAGGTGAAAATGGTGTGTTCTGTCAGGGGAGCTGCTACTGTGCTGACTGAACAGTATCTTGGGATCCAAGCCACAAATTGTTTGAAGAGAGCAAACTCCAATACTTTTGGTATGCAAATGAAATTTCAACTCTTGGTACTGTCACTTCAGAGCTTCAGGTACTGTCACTTCAGGAAAAGAGGAATTGCTGCCTGCCCAGCAGTGTCGTTCGGTAACCAAATGAAAGGCTTGTGTGTGAGACTCAAAACATGCAGTTGACTGGAGGCTGCAGTCACGCGTGTGTCTGCCCTCAGTTATAGCTGTCATTGTGACTGTTCTGTTAAACTTGCTTTAGATGTTGCATAAAGAACAATGTGGGGAGGAAAAAGAATTGGGGGAGGAAAAGTCTTTTGGGACAGAATCAGTCGCACAGGCACACGGGTTCATTCTGTTATTCCTTTTTCAGGCTGGACATAGTAAAGATGCTGCTCTGACTTCTATTCAGCCCCTGTGCTCATTGAGGGTATGTGATGGCTCTACATGGCCTCAGCAGGACCAGAAGCCTATAGCCTACGCCTTGAGACAGGAAACCAGTTCCAGGTGGGCTTCCCATCGCAGTTGACAGTGCCACCGCTCACAGCAAAGCTTCATGAAAGCAAGGCCTGGTACCTTGCAAAGCAGCATCTGAAGCCCATCTGGCAGCTGGAACGGAATCATGTGACCACTCTCCAGGACCACCATCCAGTCCACTCAGGGACCTCTTCTCCACGTTCCTGCTTCCTGTGCCCAGACTTGCTATGTCGTGAGGCAGTGCTCCTGAGCCCTTCTCCATCTCAGCCCTGTTCTTTCCCAAACTCTCTCGGAAGTGGCCTGCTCTATCGGCGTTCTTACTTCAGACACAAGCCCTATCGGAGGCTTGAGTCCATCTGCTTGCAGTCTTGTCCTTTGAAGAAGAAACCTCTTCACATCCCACCCTCTTTCTTTTGTTCTGTGCCCAATAACGCCATGTCATCCTCAACCATGGATCCATTTCTGGTGCCAAGTACCCCTGGTGGGCGTTCCAATCAGGTGTCAAAGGGGTTTGCCCTCAGCTCAGGGAAGCAAAGCTCCATTTCCTATAGACCAGTGCTAAACAATAACTCTTTCCTGAGGCCAACCAGTGCTAAAGTGCCTTTGCAGCAGCACCATCACCACCAACCACTACCGCCAGAAAATAAGAAGCCGAAAGGCCCGTCAAGACCACCAGGGTTCTCCTGGACTCATTCTGGGGGAAACGGAGATTGTTCTGTGAATCTAGATAGGAAACTTGGGAAAAGCAGCGGCCTCACTCTAGAACAAACTGGTGCCAAATCTTGCTTACCTATTCAGAATAGTACAGTCCTCAAAGTAGATAGGTCATCTTGGCGAGCTGAGGATGGTGAGACTAGACTGCAGAACCTAAAAGAACAAAATGTTCGGTTGACGGAAGCCATGAGGAAGCTGACTGCAAGCGGTATCCGGAAGATTAGTACCTACAACGAGTTTGGTCACCGCATTGACAGCTCCTGCCTTATGAATGCAAACTTCCACTCCACTTTGTTCAGTCGGTGGAAACCACACATTGTAGCACAGATCACCCCAAAAGAAGTATCAGCTGCTGCTCCTCCTCCAAATCTGGAACATGGTGGCCGCCGCCAGAGCCTTACTGGTACAGAAGGTGCTGAATCCTGCAGTAAACGCATCAGTGTTCGCTTTCTAGCCTCAGATCCTGAGCCTTCCAACCACACCACCTCAAGTCTGGTGGTCAGCTCTCCATCTGTCAGTAGTGCAGAGCAGGTGATAAAAATGGAGCTGTCCCCACGGACTACTATCTCTGATGAAGAGACAACAATTTCCTCTTTGCCATTTGGCACGGATACAAAATGGGGGCAGCCTACTGCTGTGAAAGATGCTGAGTAAGTACTGTGGTAGGTATGCAGGGGCTGTGATATGTTTTGTCTTGAAAAATCCCTGATGCCCTGGCCTGAGGGTGATGTGCTACAGAGCCAACTACAGAGCAAAGATGGGGGTGGGTGGGCGTTTTGGAGGTAGTGCAGACAGGAGTCATGTTTGTTTCAAGTTGGGCAGAACCATTTTGCTTTGGAGACCAGAGTCTGTTTGACAGAATAAAATGGAGGAGAGAATAACAATGTGAGCTGCTGTGAGTCCCCATTGGTGAGAGAGGTGGGGGTATAAATGAATATATGGTGCAGCATTTCTCATTACCTCCCAATAATGATGGTGTGAAGCAGACACAGGAGTTGTTCAATGGGATTTCCCAGCTGTATTTGCTGTTGTGCAATTAACTACCAGCGCCATTGCAGTGAACACAGATTCCTCTTTTCATCCCTCACTGAGAAGGGTTTCAAGAATATATATAAGATGCCTAGAGGGTTCTGTTTTGTGACTCTAAACCTTGATTTTGAAGCTCTGCACTTAACTTGCCCCTACTGGACCAAGCAGATGTGGAAGATATAGAGGAAGAACTCCCTGATGGCTTGGAAGATGTCTGCAGTCAGGATGAGGAGGGAGAAGAAGATGATGATGAAGGCCAGTAGTATTGTGTCCCCACCCCTTTTTGTAAAATACACAAGTGCAGCTGAAAAAGAAGACAATTGTCATTAATAATTTGCATATTTGTATTTCTTGTAACTTCAGAATTAAAATCTAGACCAGTAAAAATAAACCCTAATCATTCCTCTTATAGTACTAATGTTGGCATCCATTTGTCATATAACAAGTCATAATGTAACATCAAAAGACAGCAGTGTAATAAAATGGTTACTACAGCCATAATTACTGCTAGCTTGAATAATTTTTACCTTTTAGGTACTTTAAAATTCTGAACCATTTTGTAATATCTAATTATGTTATCTGATATTTAAGAGAGATCAGCTGTTGAATTGTTTTGAGCAATAAGGAAAAGCAGTATAGCACTGTAGCAAATAAATAAATCTCTTGCATTTTGCTGGTGAATTCTACTTCAGTAACCAGTCAATATTATTTATTTAGAAACAGGCTCTTCTTAAATCTACTGGTTTGGATACAGCCAGCTTTTTTGCTCAATGTCACACAGTTCTCATTCTTGTCACAGCCCCAGGCCCATATGGCTTTGGTCCGTACAGGTCCCATGATCCTCAGCACAGCATTTTTAGTGGTCTAAGAGGTTCACCACCTTTCTTTTTCATAAGCAGAAAAGTTGATCGGATCTGATCCATTATCTTGAAATAGTGCAAAATTAATTAGCGTGAGTAACCATTGTTATTGGGCTCAAACTATTCCTCAGTACTTGGTGTCTGACCATTTTTCCAGTGCCTTGCAGTAATTACACAGGCAACAATAACCAACTTTAATACCTCCTCAGTATTCTTGCTAGAAAGATCTTAATGTAGCACAATAAGTATCTTCCTATTATGATTTTTCTCTACTATCAGATTTCCTTGAATAAAGGTTGGAAGAAGACTACAGTTTGATGAACATTATATTGTTTAGTAACAATGTATAGCAGCTCTGAGCCTGATATTTTCATTGTTCTGTTGTATTAATTTAACATTCTAATTGGCTTGGTTTATCATCTTCATGTGATATTGCACTGTTTTTCATTCCTAGGATAATGTGTTTAAACAGAAGATGCACCTTGGCTTTTGGGGATGGGAGATGGTGAATAAAGCATCTGTATAAATAAATATTTTATATTCTCCCATCCTTGTGTCAAGGTCCTGTCTTAATCCTACAACACACACTAGGTGTTCCAAGGCTACATTGAAGAGCAGGCAGAGAACAGATCCTCCTCCTCCTTCGTCTCTCTTTGGGAGGAGGTTTAACTAAAGTATTCAATAATAAACTGTGGTGCCCTTTATATGTTCTCCCAGTCACTTGTCTTTGAGCAACTCTTATATGGTGGGGAGAATATTTAAATGGTCCGATCGCACCAATGCTGTGGTTGGGTCATTTTACATGTTCCCCCATATGTACAGACACTATTCATAGAGAAGCATCACCCTTTGCTGGAAATAATATATAAACAACACTTACATTGTCTAAACTCCTCCTATAAAAACAAAAGGTAGCTGAATTTCTGGTGACAGGGAAAAAGCCAACATGAAAACAGCCCGAAGAAAAAACCCCACAGTCATATATGCTCACAGAAAAAAAGCCCACACGGAAAAAAGCCTATACACCAAAAAGCCCACACAGAAAAATACCATGTAAAGTGTCATAGATATTTATAATGGTGGATAACCATTCATCTCCATTTATGAGAATGCACAGGTATTACCTATATTTTATATTGTTGTTTTAGGATTAAAACATGTCATATCCACATGCAACAATTTGTGTTGTGATTTTATCATGTATAATCTTAATTTAATAATTCTGTTGACGCGTTGGCCATTTCCAGCTCTCTCATTGGCTGTGCTGTGCGCTCCATCAGCCATTGGCCCATCAACCGCTACTCAAGAGTAATCACGTTCCATTGGCTGGGTGCTGGGTCCACTCCTCTTCCCTGCTCACTGCCACCTCAGCCACTGTTCCCTGTCAGAATAACTGCCAAAGGGCTGTCTCTCCTGACGAACACACTTCTCCTGCTTGGCTCCTGTGGGACTAACTTTTCCCTCAGTGGCTGTGGCTAGGCAACCAAGCTTGGTTCTGTCAGTAAAAAGACAAAGGAATGAAGCCCTTTCCAGGCCTTTGTGGGGAACTCATTGGGGCCAGTCCTGATTAGGGTTGCCAGCTCCAGGTTGGGAAATTCCTGGAGATTTGAGGGATGGAGCCTGGAGAGGGTGAGGTTTGAGGAGGGGTGGGGCCTCAGACAGGTACAATGCCATAGACTCCATAGTTTTCAAGTAATATTAATTATTTGAAAAATGTTAAGCCATATAGTGTATATGCTGTGTATACTAGACATAATTTATGCATAATTTAACATCTTTCTGTCTTTACTTTAGAAATTACTTTATATCAACATTACAAAGGTTGACAAATGATAAATTTAAATTTAAAATATTTAATTTTATTTAAAATATTTCTACATAGAGTTTAATTTCTGTTATTGTTTTTCCTTAATAAAGTTCATTTTTTATAATAGATTTTATTAGTTTTCAGAAAAGTAAAAGAAAAGACAATAACTACACATAGAGAGAAACTAACATATAACAAAACATGGAGCATGTACTCATTATATCTACTTAAGTTTTACATATATAGAATCGTTCTCTTATGCACCTAAACCAGTTTAGCCATTTAAAGTATAGAGCTTGTATCTTAATATTTATCCATTTCAACTGCAAACAATAATTAGTTTTGTTCACACGGATGACTAAAAGTTTTGCTTATTCAATTACTTAAGATATTTGTAACCAGCTGTTTCCAATAGTTTATAGATTATTTCTTCTTTGGATGGGACTTCTTCTTTTTCCCAGTATTTTGCATACAAAATCCTAGTCATAGTTACTACATGTATCATCATATATGCATCTGGTTTTTTAAAATTCTCTGGAATAATATTTAATAAAAACAGGTCTGGTACAAACGACAAAGTTATATCTAACATTTTTTGTAATATTTCATGTATCCATACCCAGTATTTTTTGTAATATTACAAGTCCATCACATGTGAAAAAGAACCAGTATACTGCTTACATTTCCAACATACATTTGACATATTTTGCTAAATTTTCTGGAGTCACATGTTATCTATAAAACATTTTATATATATTTTTTCTTTGTATGGTACAGCTTTTGTATATTTTATATTTGTTTTCCACACCTTAGTCCATTGGTCTAGCTGTATATTGTGTCCTAAGTTTTGTGCCCATCTAGTCATTGAATCTTAATAAAGTTTGTTGATAATGAAATTGTCACTTTTATTTCCTGTATTTTCCCTTCCAAGACTTAACACTCAAGAGCATTAAGGCCCTCTTCATACAGTCCACTTTTGTGTAGTAATAAAGCACTTTACTAATAACATAGCAAAATTATTATTTAATTATATGATAAAATCACAACACAAATTGTTGCATGTGAATATGATATGTTTTAATCCTAAAATAACAATATAAAATATCGGTAATACCTGTGCATTCTCATAAATGGAGATGAATGGCTATCCACCATTGTAAATATCTATGGCGCTTTACATGGTATTTTTCCATGTGGGCTTTTTTCCGTGTGGGCTTGTTTCCATGTAAGCTTTTTTCCTGTGAGCATTTATGACTCTGGGGTTTTTTCCTGTGGGCTTTTTTCATAGAACCGACTTTCTTTGTGGAGTTATGGTCCAGGATTTTCAGTCTTACACACTCTTTGTTGCTACAGGTGAATCAGATGGTTCATCCTCAACTGGATTATCCCCCAGTGGTTCTGTGGCTATTGTATCCAGGTGAGTTTCAGGAATGGTGGAAGTGCTTTGTCATCACTGATCACGGAATCCATTGTGCACTCTTAACTAAACCAAAATTATGGGTGTATTCACTTGCTGGAGATGTCAGTGAAACAATCAGTTCATGGTTTCACTGAATGTGATCCCAGCAAAGGGAACACACGTGTACTGAGAAGCTGGATATAAAGGCAGCTAGTGGGATGCTTTTTGTATCCTGGGCCACTGCTTCTAAACTCTTATATGTTCCAAGCAGTATTAGTAATGGGCCTCAGGGCCCTACCAACAATTAAACTGTACTGTCTATAGTAGGAAACAGATGTTCTAGAGAAGGTGTTGGGTGACCTTCTCTGTTCCATTACTTGCCGTTTCCTTGCTGTTGCGGTCGTATAGCTGGAAAACTGTCTTTTTCTCCTAGGAATTGCATTGAGGGATTGGTGCCACCACTTGAGGGCCAAGAGCGAATTCTCAAACCAGCTCTTGTATGCAGCCTGTTCCCTAGTGTGCCTCCTACCATATACTTTGGTACCCGAGATGAGAGAGGTAAGGTAGATTTGAATTTATTGCAGGGAGCTGGCAAAGCCAGAAGAAACTAGTATATCAAAGGGAGGGTGGGAAGGCATCATAGCTTAAAGCAGGAAGCAAATAGGGTTGGGATATGATAGAGGGAGACATATGGTAATGTGGTATGGTAGTGTAAAGGAAAGAGGGACCTTCAGACATTCGCTAGTACAGCTCCCAAGTCTTCTGGTAAAGCTTAAACTAGACATTGTCCATCTGTGGGCTGAGTCAAATGGGTAAATCAACAGTTAAGATGCTGGGAGGGATGGTAATATTCCATTGGCCTTTTGCAGAAGGTTGCATTGTGTCTGTCTCTTTCTGTGCTTCCTACCCCCATCCCAGGGAGAGATGATACCCAGATCATGCATTCCTTGCTGCAGAGATGGGCTGTTTGGTTAGGAGTGGGATCATTACCTCTGTTTTACATGCAGAAAGTTCCAGGTTCAGTCCGTGGCATCTCCAGTTGAATAGGATCTGGGTGTAGGTGATGTAAAAGAGCCTGCCTGAGAACCTGGAGAGCCAGTGCTGCTTATCAGAGTAGACAAGACTGGCCTTGAAAGACTAATGGTCTCATTCACTATAAGGCCATGTGTTCATGTGGTCTGTTTGTTCTGTATTGGTGTTTCTGTGGTGGGTAACAGGGATTGATTATAGTATAAACCACAACAGCCCTTGGTCTGGAAAGCTCAAAGCTGCTGTTGTGCACTTGGAATGTGCATGTAGATAATCTGGATTTCTATGGCAGTATTTCCCACACTTCTTTAGTGTGGACTTCCTCTTAAATGTATTGCACTTTCTGCACTGTTCGGTTAACCCCAGCATCTGCAGTCTAATCCACAGCATAATGTATAGAGATCCTTGCATGCAGTTGTGTGCATGAAGCCTGCTCCTGTATGGAAAGATCTGTGAACTAGGGCACTAAACCAGCACTGGTATTAGGAAGGAAAATGTAATAAGACCCTTCATAAAAACCATACAAAGAAAACAATATTAGAGCAGGCAGCAGCCACCCCCCACAGATCTAATGTGATGAATCAATGAAGAATTTTCTGCTTTCAATTCACCCATATCTTGGCTAGTGAGGAGGAGAAGGGTTTGTCTGCCTCAGGATCTGGTTCCTTCTAGGACCTTTGTGTCCTCTGTCCAGGTATTCTGTGTTCCCGGGGGGGGGGGGCTTGCTCAGCAGTTTTAGGAACACTGTGTTTTTGGCAAGTGGTGACATTTCTGCCAAGGGTTCCTTCTTCTCATGGTGGCCTGATTCTATTGAGATCCACTAAAGAGAATTCTACACCTTCAAGCTTCTCTGCTCATTACAACTTCATTTAACTGAATTTTTAAGAAATGGATGCTCCTTAGGTTAGGTTTTCCTCTACCATTAGGGTTTGCTTCCTTCCTAGTGGAGAAGCTTCCTTGGGAACAGAGGAAGATGCTGCGATGGAAGATGAGCACTGTGACTCCAAACATTGTGAAGCAAACCATTGGCAGGTCCCACTTCAAAGTCAGCAGGAGTGAGTTGTCTTCAGGGTGGGAATGGTTTTTGAGTGCATGTCCCTTTCTGTCTGCCTTAAATACACCCATGCTTACCAAAGTCCACATCTTTACTTTGGCATAGTGCTGGATGCTCAGAAAATTTGCTGTCTTACTTGGAAGATCTGGGTCACAGAGGAAGAGAAACTTAGTGGTTCTGATACAATTTGTTATCTTGGTGTGCCTCTCTTGCATGGATGATTCAGTTTGATGCTGCAAATCAGGAATTTGGAGTTAAAAATGTCACTCTTCCACTGCTTCCCTTCATGTTTTGGGCAAGCCTTCTGGCTCTTCTGTCTTGGTATGTCCCCTAGCTAGCTGAATGGTTTTTGTCACAAGCTGCTGTTTTCTGCAAGACCTCACTAGCTCCCATATGCTGTATTCTTAGAGCAACTGGGAAAGATGGTATAGGGAAAATGCCTTACTCTTGTATGCAAAAAAATTTGAATGACTTTTGCAGAGTTTGCTGTACGTGTAGTGATCGGTTGTGGACTACATGTTATAGCACAGAGCCGTGGCTGCCCTTTCCTGTTTGATAAATACACTAACTCTTCATTCACCACCACTTCAAGTAGGAGGAGAGTTAGACACCAAAAGGGATGGTGACTATACTTTGGCATCTACTCTCTGTCCATCCTGAACTAACAGGGCTTGCCTTCAGCATACAGCTTGTAACATTGATGTAGGAGAGAACAGATGGGATGTCACTGAAGAGAAGGAAAGGGGGTTATACCTGCATACAGTTCTTCATAGGGTTTTTATGGGAGTCTACTTCTATGAGGCTGCTTTGGGCTTTGGTGGAAGGAAACGTGCAGTTAGGGATGGAAACATAATGTGCATTCATGTTTGCCAAATTAAAGGTCTTAGGTGGCTGAGACTTTCCAGTTCTGAGCACAGAGCAAAAAATATATATATCCAACACATTGTCCAGATAATATTAAATATGATTTCTTAACTGCCCTGTTGCCCACAGGAAACAATGACTGGCTGGGCTGCTGGGGCCACCACATGAAATCTCCTGGGTTCAGAATTATCAGGGAACATCAGAAGGTAGGAGATGTGGTCATACTGCACAAGAGCATACTGGAGAATATCGTGCAAGATAGAGGGCGATACACACCTAGTTCCTGCCTTCTTTCCAGTCCCTCCTCCCTATCCTTCCACTGCACACAACTGTTAACTGTCATGTTCTCTGCTTTAGTATCCCCCTCCTCTCATCCCTTCACAATCTGCTGTTACTGGCAGTGTTTCTTAAGGTATTCTAGGCATACAAGACACAGTACACAGATGCTTTGGCCTCGCAAGCTTACTCTATATGAGCTACCTGCAGGGAGTACCAGCCAAGGGTTTGGGGATTGGTGTGGGTGATATATTCTCCCGTAGGTAACCCTGAATTTGGAGGAAAGGATGTTTTCTAATTGTACTGAGAGTAGAAAGCTAGGAGATAAAGGAGACATTGTCACTCTGTTCTTGAATTCTCCTTTTCCACCTGCAGTTGAACCACTTTCCTGGATCATTTCAAATTGGGCGGAAGGACAGGCTGTGGAGAAATGTGTCCAAAATGCAGACGCGTTTTGGAAAGAAGGAGTTCAACTTCCTGCCACAGTCTTTTATTCTCCCTCAAGATATCAAGCTGCTCAGGAAGGCTTGGGAAGATTGTGGAAGCCGCCAGAAGTGGATTGTGAAGCCGGTGAGGGTGCAGAGGAGATGTGGGTAGGGATGTGCTCCTTAGGGGCTCTGCTTGGGTACAGCCATGTTGTTTCCTGCTATTCCCAGTAGTACAAACGTCTGGTGCCCTCTAGTAATTGTGGGATGTATCATTTCCAGTAGAGTACTCTGGTGACCGCTTTGCCACAGCTGTACCCAACTAACCCTCTGATTGTCTTCTTCCTGCAGGTGGGATCCCTTTGGTTCAAAAAAGTCAGTGATGTGCTGTTTCCTTTGCTTGTAGTTTTAGTACACAGGCAAGAGAGGAAGAACAGGGAGAAAGGCAGACTATAAATGATGATGATGATTTGGAAAGGGCAGTTGTGATCATCCTTCCCGAGTTGTCAGTGTTCTTTCTGGAATCTGGATTTGGATTCCTGTAGGGTTAAGTGGACAAGATGCTGGGTGATTTGTGAGCTGATCCTTCTGGCATTTTAAAAATGCGAATAGAAGCCAGGCTGTGATGTGTTTTGGATCAGGGATGCACAGGGATGAGGAGAGAGGGCTTCAATTCACTTTCTTGCTGCTGTTTCATCAGTCAAAACTGCAATGGGGAGAGGGAGCAGATATCGGTCAGGGAGCTGTGAAGGATGAAGTAAACTGACCTTGAGCACTGAAAGCCCACCAGTGCTTCCCTGGCCTCTGAACTTTTCATTCTCCTGTCTTCAGGTTTTTCACCACAACCATAAGGGCTGGATTTAAAAAAAAACATCCGTAGATGGCAAAGCTCAATATTTAATAACTAGGCCCTGAATGTGCAGTGTTATTACCGCCTTCTACAACCACAGGCTATGAGTAGTCTTCCTTGTCAAAGACACGTGCCTGCCTTCTGTGACTAGTATTGGTCTATTCTTCCCATGGTGTCCTTTCAACTTTGAACTCTAAGATAAGAGCAAATCCATGTTAATATGCATCTGTCTCTCTTTTCTAGCCAGCATCAGCTAGGGGCATTGGCATACAGGTCATCCATAAGTGGAGCCAGCTGCCAAAGCGCAGACCACTGCTGGTGCAAAGGTGAGCAAAGTTTCTCCAAACTGAGGTATAAACTGGTCTTGCCTGAGCCTGCCGGCAAAACGGCTAACTGATTTTCTGGAGGTGTCAAGAAGCTACCTGGCCTCTGGAAATGCTGTCTTGTGGAACTAAAATTGCTCTAGGAATTTGGTGTCTCTTGCCTTTGCCTTCTGTTAAAGATGTGGGCAATGGTGGAATTGCTGTTGTGTGAAAGTATCTTCAGAAACGTGGCTGACAGTTTTCTGTGGCATGAAATGCTATGATGAAAAAACTGGACTTCAGCTATAATCTCTAAACCCCTGCAGGACCAAAGCTGTCTCTGTAGTTGGGGAAAGGGCTAAAGATAGTTTGACGCCTAACAGCTTTTCTTTCAGTGCTGAAGCTCATGGGCCTCTCCTCCTTTTTCAGATATTTGCATAAGCCCTACCTCATTGGTGGAAGTAAGTTTGACTTAAGGATTTATGTTTACGTCACATGCTACGACCCACTGCGTATCTACTTGTTCAAAGATGGACTTGTCCGTTTTGCCAGTTGCAAGTAGGTTCCCCAGGAATTGTATGCCTATAACAGGGTGAATATAAGTAGCTTAGAGCAAGAGGGTCAGATTGAATATGGATCCTGTGCACTGGAGTGACTAGAGTGGTCTCCAGATTGACTGAGAGTGCATTTTGACAGCTGCATTACTGCCTCTAGGAACACCAGCTGAATGACATTAAAATGTGTCCTTAAACGAAGAACACACAGTATTGGTATGCCAATCTGTGCATTCCTTGATGTAGAGGGGATGGGCTGGTCACTCAGTGGCAGCATACACTTATTGCATACAGAAGGTCCCAGGTTCAGTCCCTGGGACCTCCCAGTTAAAAGGTCTCAGGTAGCAAGTCTTGAGGAAATGCTTATTCTGCCTGAGACCCTGGAGAGTTACTGCCAGTGGATGCCCTGGAGAGTTGCTGGGCAGTTCTGAGCTTAGGTGGACTAGTGGTCTGATTCTGCATAAGGCACCTTCAGAGGATGAGCAGTCTGTCGATTCTGCCGCAATTGTTCTGTTAACCAAATATGCACTGAGATGTGACAGTATTTTAGTACTGTGTTGGTTACAGGCCATAAGTTAATTAATTGATTTTTGCAAATGACTTCTGTCAGAGCCACTCCAAATGTGTAGCCCATGACAGTATTGTATCAGACACTAGGAGGGAGGCTTGGCTTTTTTGTTTTGAAGTAGGAAGGTGCACTCTACGTTTTCTAGCTCTTGGGCTGCCAGCTTCTACTTCTCGCTATTTAGTTCAAGTAAGTGAGTCCTTCTTATGAATGCTTTATAGGACCACTTTGTTCTTGTTCTATCCCAGATACTCTTCCTCCACAAAAAGCCTCAACAACAAGTACATGCACTTGACCAACTACAGTATCAACAAGAAGAATGTTGAATACAAAGCCAATGGAGATGAAACTGCTTGCCAAGGTCACAAGTGGTAAGTGCCAATAGTACAGAAAGGGGACTCACTCTTATTCTGTCATGTATATTCTGCTGTACCTTAGCCGGTAGATGTTGTCCCTCCTGTAACAACGAGGATTGAATTGCAATAGCCTAAGTACAGTCCCTCTTTTTCCCTAGGAAAGGGACCAAGTCTTTCCTGAATGTACAGAAAGAAGAGTTGATTCTGACCAAGATAACACTATGATGCGTGTATGCATGTGCACACATTTCCTTCTCTCTCTGTAGGGCACTGAAAGCACTCTGGAGCTATTTGAACCAGAAAGGAATTGACACTGAAGCCATCTGGGAGAAGATAAAAGACATTGTTGTCAAAACCATTATTGCGTGAGTCAAAGAAGATTTTCTCCTCTTCCATCACCTCCCTCAGTAGCACTTAAAGCTCCCTTTTGGATTTTTTCACTAGGACCTCTTTTTCATGGGGCCTATTAGTTTGCGGAAATTACGTGTCAACTCCAGCTGACCTTCAAGGAAGTGTTTATCCTGGCTCATTCCTTGTTTCTCTGTTCTTTTGGAATCAAATTCTACTTTTGCAATTTTTCTCAAATGCGCTCTCACTCTTAGTTGGTCCAAAAATTATCTTAATCTACATTGTTACCTTTTCTGAATGTTAATATGATGAAGTGGGGTACAGACATATGCAGCAAAACCTTGATGCAGTTTTCATCACAACCATATTTCTGTATATAAAATATTTCTGTTCTGTGTCTTAACAGTAGGTCTCAGAGGGGGTTGCAATAAGACAGACAATACAAATACAAAACATTGTAGCAATTCAGTGGAAACCCACTGCCATGAATAGATGCCAGCCTTGACCAGGAGGGCGGGATAAAAATCCAATAAATCAAATCAAATCAGATGAAAATAGTAAAAGCAGAGCTCTGCTCTGTGCCACTGGTCTTTTGTGGTTTCTTCACACCCAGTGCCGAGGCAAACTGAGGCATAAGAGAGCAACTACTGGGCAAGCCACGCTTCCTGCCAGTTAGTCCTGCTGCATAGTAGTAACCAAGCATCGGCTTCACTTCCTAGGTCAGAGCCCTACATTACCAACCTTGTGAAGTTGTACGTGCGGCGCCCTTACTGCTGCCATGAGCTGTTTGGGTTTGATGTCATGCTGGATGAGAATCTCAAACCGTGGATCCTGGAGGTCAATATCTCACCCAGGTAGGCTGCTATATTGGTTGTGTATATCCCACTACAGGGTTGAAGTCCTGTACCCCAAGGTGGTTTCACTAAGATAGTCTGTTCTGTTGAAAGCACTCTGTTTCTTCCTCCACCTCTACTTAATATGGGGGAGGCAAGAAGCAGTGGAAATTAACATTTCAGGAGGGATTATGGTTAGAATAGAACAGTTCAAATATGCCATCTCTGAAATTTCATGTAGAACACCTAGAGCACTTTAGTCAGTAACTCGTTATGAATGTTTTGTACTGTTGGATTTTAAATGGTTTTAATTATGTTTTATATTGGCGTTTGCCCCTATGTAAGCCGCCCTGAGCCCGCATTGCGGGGAGGGCGGGGTATAAATTGAATTAAATAAATAAATAAATAAATAAAAATAGGGCCAGGAGGTACTGTGTAGCTATACTTAGATTGCTGTGAAACTTGGGAATGGCTGAGTCTCCCATATTTGTGATACCGTGTTGCCTCGGGATCAGAATTTTTCCTGTCCTTTATTCTGGAGAGATGTGAGTTAATTTAACAGTTCCAACTGTCAAGTACAAGGCAAATACAAGGTGTCCAGTCAAGATTCTTAATAATGTGCTCAATCTCTCTGCAGCCTCCATTCAAACTCTCCCCTTGATGTGAGTATCAAGGGCCAAATGGTCCGGGATGTTCTGAACTTGGCTGGCTTTATATTGCCCAACGCAGATGATGTGGCTTCACTTTCAGGAAGTACCAGCAGTTCTGCAACCAGGTCAGGAGCCATAAATTGCACACTCAAGTAGCAAAAGCTATGCTGGGGACCGCTTCTTGTTCTGCCTTGTGGGCACTGTGGTCATCCACTGTAAGACTGAGTTGGGAAGAGGTGCTCCAGGCTGAAAGAGGAGAAACTGTTATAGTGTTACAGCACTTGGCTTCAGCACACCACCCAAGCCTCTAACCAGAGTATTGTTGCTACTCTATAGCAATTGGTTGCAAATGGATTCTCCTGTGTGGACAAGGCAATCTATTTGCACATTATTGCTACAGTGTAGTGATAGTACAGTCTCCAATGATGTGTGGATGCAGCCCAGTCTGTCGGGCAGTGTCAAGGGTATATTGGGCACAGGCTTCAGCATCTTGCGAATCTTGTCTTTCTTTCCTTAAAGGAAGTAAGTGGCCCCGATGATGGCAGAAGGTGAGCTCAAAAACATGTGCAGTGCTTTATAAAACCTAGGAAGCTGTGTGGTGATTAAACTGAGTGATGGACCTCTGTTCTCCCAGTGGCCTTCATGGCTGACTGGGGATTTGAACCCGAGTGTTTCAAGCACAAATCCAGCACTGTTCCCACAATTCTATCTGGATTATAATTGATTTTTGTGTTTTGGCAAAGAACTCTGTGGCAAGATAACAAATACTTCTGTTGTGCAAAAAAACCCAAGCCAAATGTAGTGAACATATTAGGTTTGTTAATGAAAAACAACCATACATTGGTTTCAAAATGAGCTTACACTGAATTGTTCTGGTTTCAGTTCTATGCATATTTCCCTGTAAATAAGGCCCAATGAACATGGTAGGACTTGCTTCCAGTTAAGCATGTATAGGACTGGACCACACTTGGTATGCTAGTAAACCGCTTACAGCTTGGATACACTGAAGGGGTTCTATAGACAGATCAGTTTCTACCTATGGAGGATGGCTTTTTGCTTCCTTCTGTTGCCCAAATATCCCCCCAAATGCTGCTTCCTAAGGTGTTTCAGGCTGCAGCAGCAGGAGGAAGGCTGTGTGGAAAGAAATTATGAAATGCCTTAGTGGATCCATGCTTATGTTTCCTATGCATTGGGTACATATTATGGGCACTTATGGTCCCTCGTGAACCACTGACAGCTTTCCCCTGTAAATAAGGCCTTTTCACTCCGCTTGTCAGTTGGTTAATGAGAGTTGGTGCCTTGCTTTTTAGCTGCTTCCTCTTCATGCTAGACCTAAACTCTAAAATAATTGACCATTGTGAGCTGTGGATGCTTTTTGAAGTTTTCTGGTGATTTATATATCAATAGCTGTGGCTTCAGTGTGCTGTTGAATGCTGAGTACAGCCTGCTGTGTTACCACTGATTTTGGCTGTAGATGGCAGAATGGAGATATCTGTTTGATAACTTTGATTATTGCTACGCCCAGCTTGAATACTCCCATGAAGGAAAAATCCAGGCCGTCTCTTGAGGTGTTCACTGCTGAGAAGACAAAGAAAGCTTATTATCTGACCCAGAAAGTGCCTGATCAGGTAAGTGAGATCATGCCTTTCCCAGACTTTCTCATCATCCTGTTTCACTGTATCGAGGCCAGAGTTTCTTGATGATGTATTTTATGCATTATGATAATCGTTTGGCTGGAGGTTTCTTGGTGCTCTGCCTTACTATATAAGCACTTTCTGTCAGAATGAAATTCCCAGTAGAATAAGGATGGTCTCCATATGTGCCTGCACACCAGCTATGGTAGTCAGGCAGACACCTGTTGACTATCCGACCACTTAGAGTGGCTTGTCTGACACGGGCCAGATCTGGGGCCTTTTCCATGGTCGCTTCTACTCTGTGGAATGGGCTCCCTGAAGAGGTAAGGTGGGCCTCCTCCTTGGAGATCTTCAGGAAGCATTGCAAAGCATACTTACTTGAGGGAGTTTGAACGGCGGACGACTTTTTAAGCGGCGAAGGGGGCAGAGACTTGGTTGGTTACTTAATTTGCGTTTTAACTGAAGATGTTCTTAACTATTATTTTAAGCTGCCTTGAACCACGAGGAAAAGTGGGATATAAATGTTTTAATAAATAGGTAAGTGTCTTTCCTGATGACAGCGTGCATGTTCATAAACGACAAAGTAAAAGTAACCTGAGTGGCAAGCCTGCTAAGTTCTCAGTTTTATACGGAGCAGCGTTCAGTGTAATACCATTTGTTTAAGGTTGTTATGCCAACTTCTCCAGG